AACGTTCGCCACCGGGTGGGCTTCAACCACCAACCTTTCGGTTAACAGCCGAACGCGCTAGCCGATTGCGCCACGGAGGCTCTGTTGCTGCATGAATATCACGATCTTAAAACAGGTAACTGGGGAAAAGTTTTGTTTTCAAAGATTTGTCTACTGTTTAAATACTTGAATTGCAAAAAGATGTTGAAATGAGTCCCGAAGTGTAGCATAATATTTCGTGTGTATATTACGTAATGGGTTCTCATGAAGTAAATAGCCTTTTGCATTCAAAAACTTTCGCCCCGGGTGGGCTCTCGAACCACAACCTTTCGGTTAACAGCCGAACGCGCTAGCCGATTGCGCCACGGAGGCTCTGTTGCTGCATGAATATCACGATCTTAAAACAGGTAACTGGGGAAAAGTTTTAGTTTTCAAAGTTTTGTCTACGGTTTAAATACTTGAATTGCAAAAAGATGTTGAAATGAGTCCCGAAGTGTAGCATAATATTTCGTGTGTATATTACGTAATGGGTTCTCATGAAGTAAATAGCCTTTTGCATTCAAAAACTTTCGCCCCGGGTGGGCTCGAACCACCAACCTTTCGGTTAACAGCCGAACGCGCTAGCCGATTGCGCCACGGAGGCTCTGTTGCTAGTTGAAAATTAAAATTCATGTCATGATCTATCACGATCTTAAAACTGGTAACTGGGGAAAAGTTTAAGTTTTCAAAGATTTGTCTACTGTTTAAATACTTGAATTGCAAAAAGATGTTGAAATGAGTCCCGAAGTGTAGCATAATATTTCGTGTGTATATTACGTAATGGGCTCTCATGAAGTAAATAGCCTTTTGCATTCAAAAACTTTCGCCCCGGGTGGGCTCGAACCACCAACCTTTCGGTTAACAGCCGAACGCGCTAGCCGATTGCGCCACGGAGGCTCTGTTGCTGCATGAATATCACGATCTTAAAACAGGTAACTGGGGAAAAGTTTTAGTTTTCAAAGTTTTGTCTACTGTTTAAATACTTGAATTGCAAAAATGTTGAAATGAGTCCCGAAGTGTAGCATAATATTTCGTGTGTATATTACGTAATGGGTTCTCATGAAGTAAATAGCCTTTTGCATTCAAAAACTTTCGCCCCCGGGTGGGCTCGAACCACCAACCTTTCGGTTAACAGCCGAACGCGCTAGCCGATTGCGCCACGGAGGCTCTGTTGCTGCATGAATATCACGATCTTAAAACAGGTAACTGGGGAAAAGTTTTAGTTTTCAAAGTTTTGTCTACGGTTTAAATAATGAATTGCAAAAAGATGTTGAAATGAGTCCCGAAGTGTAGCATAATATTTCGTGTGTATATTACGTAATGGGTTCTCATGAAGTAAATAGCCTTTTTGCATTCAAAAACTTTCGCCCCGGGTGGGGCTCGAACCACCAACCTTTCGGTTAACAGCCGAACGCGCTAGCCGATTGCGCCACGGAGGCTCTGTTGCTGCAAAATGAATATCACGATCTTAAAACAGGTAACTGGGGAAAAGTTTTGGTTTTCAAAGATTTGTCTACTGTTTAAATACTTGAATTGCAAAAAGATGTTGAAATGAGTCCCGAAGTGTAACATAATATTTCGTGTGTATATTACGTAATGGGCTCTCATGAAGTAAATAGCCTTTTTGCATTCAAAAACTTTCGCCCCGGGTGGGCTCGAACCACCAACCTTTCGGTTAACAGCCGAACGCGCTAGCCGATTGCGCCACGGAGGCTCTGTTGCTGCATGAATATCACGATCTTAAAACAGGTAACTGGGGAAAAGTTTTAGTTTTCAAAGTTTTGTCTACGGTTTAAATACTTGAATTGCAAAAAAATGTTGAAATGAGTCCCGAAGTGTAGCATAATATTTCGTGTGTATATTACGTAATGGGTTCTCATGAAGTAAATAGCCTTTTTGCATTCAAAAACTTTCGCCCCGGGGTGGGCTCGAACCACCAACCTTTCGGTTAACAGCCGAACGCGCTAGCCGATTGCGCCACGGAGGCTCAGTTGTGAATAGAAAACAAAAATTAAAGTAAAAATCTGTCAATAGCTCAAAATTGGTAAACGGGAAAAAGTTATAGTATGCAAAGTTATGTCTACGGTTTAAATACGAGAATTGCAAAAAATTATGTTTCAATGAATTTCTAGGGGTAAGATGATATTCGGTGTGTATATTACGTAATTACTTTTAATGAAGTAAATAGCTTTTTTGCTTTTAAAAACGTTCGCCACCGGGTGGGCATTCAACCACCAACCTTTCGGTTAACAGCCGATTGCGCCACGGAGTCTCTGTTGCTACTTGAAAATTAAAATTCACGTCATGATCTATCACGATCTTAAAACTGGTAACTGGGGAAAAGTTTTAGTTTTCAAAGTTTTGTCTACGGTTTAAATACTTGAATTGCAAAAAAGATGTTGAAATGAGTCCCGAAGTGTAACATAATATTTCGTGTGTATATTATGTAATGGGCTTTCATGAAGTAAATAGCCTTTTTGCATTCAAAAACTTTCGCCCCCGGGTGGGCTCGAACCACCAACCTTTCGGTTAACAGCCGAACGCGCTAGCCGATTGCGCCACGGAGGCTCTGTTGCTGCATGAATATCACGATCTTAAAACAGGTAACTGGGGAAAAGTTTTAGTTTTCAAAGTTTTGTCTACGGTTTAAATACTTGAATTGCAAAAAAATGATGTTGAAATGAGTCCCGAAGTGTAGCATAATATTTCGTGTGTATATTACGTAATGGGTTCTCATGAAGTAAATAGCCTTTTTGCATTCAAAAACTTTCGCCCCCGGGTGGGCTCGAACCACCAACCTTTCGGTTAACAGCCGAACGCGCTAGCCGATTGCGCCACGGAGGCTCTGTTGCTGCATGAATATCACGATCTTAAAACAGGTAACTGGGGAAAAGTTTTAGTTTTCAAAGTTTTGTCTACTGTTTAAATACTTGAATTGCAAAAAAGATGTTGAAATGAGTCCCGAAGTGTAGCATAATATTTCGTGTGTATATTACGTAATGGGTTCTCATGAAGTAAATAGCCTTTTGCATTCAAAAACTTTCGCCCCGGGTGGGCTCGAACCACCAACCTTTCGGTTAACAGCCGAACGCGCTAGCCGATTGCGCCACGGAGGCTCTGTTGCTGCATGAATATCACGATCTTAAAACAGGTAACTGGGGAAAAGTTTTAGTTTTCAAAGTTTTGTCTACGGTTTAAATACTTGAATTGCAAAAAGATGTTGAAATGAGTCCCGAAGTGTAGCATAATATTTCGTGTGTATATTACGTAATGGGTTCTCATGAAGTAAATAGCCTTTTGCATTCAAAAACTTTCGCCCCGGGTGGGCTCGAACCACCAACCTTTCGGTTAACAGCCGAACGCGCTAGCCGATTGCGCCACGGAGGCTCTGTTGCTGCATGAATATCACGATCTTAAAACAGGTAACTGGGGAAAAGTTTTAGTTTTCAAAGTTTTGTCTACTGTTTAAATACTTGAATTGCAAAAAGATGTTGAAATGAGTCCCGAAGTGTAGCATAATATTTCGTGTGTATATTACGTAATGGGTTCTCATGAAGTAAATAGCCTTTTGCATTCAAAAACTTTCGCCCCCGGGTGGGCTCGAACCACCAACCTTTCGGTTAACAGCCGAACGCGCTAGCCGATTGCGCCACGGAGGCTCTGTTGCTGCATGAATATCACGATCTTAAAACAGGTAACTGGGGAAAAGTTTTAGTTTTCAAAGTTTTGTCTACGGTTTAAATACTTGAATTGCAAAAAAATGTTGAAATGAGTCCCGAAGTGTAGCATAATATTTCGTGTGTATATTACGTAATGGGTTCTCATGAAGTAAATAGCCTTTTGCATTCAAAAACTTTCGCCCCCGGGTGGGCTCGAACCACCAACCTTTCGGTTAACAGCCGAACGCGCTAGCCGATTGCGCCACGGAGGCTCAGTTGTGAATAGAAAACAAAAATTAAAGTAAAAATCTGTCAATAGCTCAAAATTGGTAAACGGGAAAAAGTTATAGTATGCAAAGTTATGTCTACGGTTTAAATACGAGAATTGCAAAAAATTATGTTTCAATGAATTTCTAGGGGTAAGATGATATTCGGTGTGTATATTACGTAATTACTTTTAATGAAGTAAATAGCTTTTTTTTGCTTTTAAAAACGTTCGCCACCGGGTGGGCTTCAACCACCAACCTTTCGGTTAACAGCCGATTGCGCCACGGAGGCTCTGTTGCTACTTGAAAATTAAAATTCACGTCATGATCTATCACGATCTTAAAACTGGTAACTGGGGAAAAGTTTTAGTTTTCAAAGTTTTGTCTACGGTTTAAATACTTGAATTGCAAAAAGATGTTGAAATGAGTCCCGAAGTGTAGCATAATATTTCGTGTGTATATTATGTAATGGGCTCTCATGAAGTAAATAGCCTTTTTGCATTCAAAAACTTTCGCCCCCGGTGGGCTCGAACCACCAACCTTTCGGTTAACAGCCGAACGCGCTAGCCGATTGCGCCACGGAGGCTCTGTTGCTGCATGAATATCACGATCTTAAAACAGGTAACTGGGGAAAAGTTTTAGTTTTCAAAGTTTTGTCTACGGTTTAAATACTTGAATTGCAAAAAGATGTTGAAATGAGTTTCGAAGTGTAGCATAATATTTCGTGTGTATATTACGTAATGGGTTCTCATGAAGTAAATAGCCTTTTTGCATTCAAAAACTTTCGCCCCGGGTGGGCTCGAACCACCAACCTTTCGGTTAACAGCCGAACGCGCTAGCCGATTGCGCCACGGAGGCTCTGTTGCTGCATGAATATCACGATCTTAAAACAGGTAACTGGGGAAAAGTTTTGGTTTTCAAAGATTTGTCTACTGTTTAAATACTTGAATTGCAAAAAAGATGTTGAAATGAGTCCCGAAGTGTAGCATAATATTTCGTGTGTATATTACGTAATGGGTTCTCATGAAGTAAATAGCCTTTTGCATTCAAAAACTTTCGCCCCCGGGTGGGCTCGAACCACCAACCTTTCGGTTAACAGCCGAACGCGCTAATGAATATCACGATCTTAAAACAGGTAACTGGGGAAAAGTTTTAGTTTTCAAAGTTTTGTCTACGGTTTAAATACTTGAATTGCAAAAAAGATGTTGAAATGAGTCCCGAAGTGTAGCATAATATTTCGTGTGTATATTACGTAATGGGTTCTCATGAAGTAAATAGCCTTTTTGCATTCAAAACTTTCGCCCCCGGGGGGGCTCGAACCACCAACCTTTCGGTTAACAGCCGAACGCGCTAGCCGATTGCGCCACGGAGGCTCTGTTGCTGCATGAATATCACGATCTTAAAACAGGTAACTGGGGAAAAGTTTTAGTTTTCAAAGTTTTGTCTACTGTTTAAATACTTGAATTGCAAAAAAAAAGATGTTGAAATGAGTCTCGAAGTGTAGCATAATATTTCGTGTGTATATTACGTAATGGGTTCTCATGAAGTAAATAGCCTTTTTGCATTCAAAAACTTTCGCCCCGGGTGGGCTCGAACCACCAACCTTTCGGTTAACAGCCGAACGCGCTAGCCGATTGCGCCACGGAGGCTCTGTTGCTGCATGAATATCACGATCTTAAAACAGGTAACTGGGGAAAAGTTTTAGTTTTCAAAGTTTTGTCTACGGTTTAAATACTTGAATTGCAAAAAAAATGTTGAAATGAGTCCCGAAGTGTAGCATAATATTTCGTGTGTATATTACGTAATGGGTTCTCATGAAGTAAATAGCCTTTTTGCATTCAAAAACTTTCGCCCCCGGGTGGGCTCGAACCACCAACCTTTCGGTTAACAGCCGAACGCGCTAGCCGATTGCGCCACGGAGGCTCAGTTGTGAATAGAAAACAAAAATTAAAGTAAAAATCTGTCAATAGCTCAAAATTGGTAAACGGGAAAAAGTTATAGTATGCAAAGTTATGTCTACGGTTTAAATACGAGAATTGCAAAAAATTATGTTTCAATGAATTTCTAGGGGTAAGATGATATTCGGTGTGTATATTACGTAATTACTTTTAATGAAGTAAATAGCTTTTTTGCTTTTAAAAACGTTCGCCACCGGGTGGGCTTCAACCACCAACCTTTCGGTTAACAGCCGATTGCGCCACGGAGTCTCTGTTGCTACTTGAAAATTAAAATTCACGTCATGATCTATCACGATCTTAAAACTGGTAACTGGGGAAAAGTTTTAGTTTTCAAAGTTTTGTCTACTGTTTAAATACTTGAATTGCAAAAAGATGTTGAAATGAGTCCCGAAGTGTAACATAATATTTCGTGTGTATATTATGTAATGGGCTCTCATGAAGTAAATAGCCTTTTGCATTCAAAAACTTTCGCCCCCGGGTGGGCTCGAACCACCAACCTTTCGGTTAACAGCCGAACGCGCTAGCCGATTGCGCCACGGAGGCTCTGTTGCTGCATGAATATCACGATCTTAAAACAGGTAACTGGGGAAAAGTTTTAGTTTTCAAAGTTTTGTCTACGGTTTAAATACTTGAATTGCAAAAAAGATGTTGAAATGAGTCCCGAAGTGTAGCATAATATTTCGTGTGTATATTACGTAATGGGTTCTCATGAAGTAAATAGCCTTTTGCATTCAAAAACTTTCGCCCCGGGTGGGCTCGAACCACCAACCTTTCGGTTAACAGCCGAACGCGCTAGCCGATTGCGCCACGGAGGCTCTGTTGCTGCATGAATATCACGATCTTAAAACAGGTAACTGGGGAAAAGTTTTAGTTTTCAAAGTTTTGTCTACGGTTTAAATACTTGAATTGCAAAAAAAATGTTGAAATGAGTCCCGAAGTGTAGCATAATATTTCGTGTGTATATTACGTAATGGGTTCTCATGAAGTAAATAGCCTTTTTGCATTCAAAAACTTTCGCCCCAGGGTGGGCTCGAACCACCAACCTTTCGGTTAACAGCCGAACGCGCTAGCCGATTGCGCCACGGAGGCTCAGTTGTGAATAGAAAACAAAAATTAAAGTAAAAATCTGTCAATAGCTCAAAATTGGTAAACGGGAAAAAGTTATAGTATGCAAAGTTATGTCTACGGTTTAAATACGAGAATTGCAAAAAATTATGTTTCAATGAATTTCTAGGGGTAAGATGATATTCGGTGTGTATATTACGTAATTACTTTTAATGAAGTAAATAGCTTTTTTTGCTTTTAAAAACGTTCGCCACCGGGTGGGCTTCAACCACCAACCTTTCGGTTAACAGCCGATTGCGCCACGGAGTCTCTGTTGCTACTTGAAAATTAAAATTCACGTCATGATCTATCACGATCTTAAAACTGGTAACTGGGGAAAAGTTTTAGTTTTCAAAGTTTTGTCTACGGTTTAAATACTTGAATTGCAAAAAAGATGTTGAAATGAGTCCCGAAGTGTAACATAATATTTCGTGTGTATATTATGTAATGGGTTCTCATGAAGTAAATAGCCTTTTGCATTCAAAAACTTTCGCCCCCGGTGGGCTCGAACCACCAACCTTTCGGTTAACAGCCGAACGCGCTAGCCGATTGCGCCACGGAGGCTCTGTTGCTGCATGAATATCACGATCTTAAAACAGGTAACTGGGGAAAAGTTTTAGTTTTCAAAGTTTTGTCTACTGTTTAAATACTTGAATTGCAAAAAGATGTTGAAATGAGTCCCGAAGTGTAGCATAATATTTCGTGTGTATATTACGTAATGGGTTCTCATGAAGTAAATAGCCTTTTTGCATTCAAAAACTTTCGCCCCGGGTGGGCTCGAACCACCAACCTTTCGGTTAACAGCCGAACGCGCTAGCCGATTGCGCCACGGAGGCTCTGTTGCTGCATGAATATCACGATCTTAAAACAGGTAACTGGGGAAAAGTTTTAGTTTTCAAAGTTTTGTCAAAGTTTAAATACTTGAATTGCAAAAAAAATGTTGAAATGAGTCCCGAAGTGTAGCATAATATTTCGTGTGTATATTACGAAATGGGTTCTAATGAAGTAAACACCCTTTTTGCATTCAAGAACTTTCGCCCCCGGGTGGGCTCGAACCACCAACCTTTCGGTTAACAGCCGAACGCGCTAGCCGATTGCGCCACGGAGGCTCAGTTGTGAATAGAAAACAAAAATTAAAGTAAAAATCTGTCAATAGCTCAAAATTGGTAAACGGGAAAAAGTTATAGTATGCAAAGTTATGTCTACGGTTTAAATACGAGAATTGCAAAAAATTATGTTTCAATGAATTTCTAGGGGTAAGATGATATTCGGTGTGTATATTACGTAATTACTTTTAATGAAGTAAATAGCTTTTTTTGCTTTTAAAAACGTTCGCCACCGGGTGGGCTTCAACCACCAACCTTTCGGTTAACAGCCGATTGCGCCACGGAGTCTCTGTTGCTACTTGAAAATTAAAATTCACGTCATGATCTATCACGATCTTAAAACTGGTAACTGGGGAAATGTTTTAGTTTTCAAAGTTTTGTCTACGGTTTAAATACTTGAATTGCAAAAAAGATGTTGAAATGAGTCCCGAAGTGTAGCATAATATTTCGTGTGTATATTACGAAATGGGTTCTAATGAAGTAAACAGCCTTTTTGCATTCAAAAACTTTCGCCCCCGGGTGGGCTCGAACCACCAACCTTTCGGTTAACAGCCGAACGCGCTAGCCGATTGCGCCACGGAGGCTCAGTTGTGAATAGAAAACAAAAATTAAAGTAAAAATCTGTCAATAGCTCAAAATTGGTAAACGGGAAAAAGTTATAGTATGCAAAGTTATGTCTACGGTTTAAATACGAGAATTGCAAAAATTATGTTTCAATGAATTTCTAGGGGTAAGATGATATTCGGTGTGTATATTACGTAATTACTTTTAATGAAGTAAATAGCTTTTTTTGCTTTTAAAAACGTTCGCCACCGGGTGGGCTTCAACCACCAACCTTTCGGTTAACAGCCGATTGCGCCACGGAGTCTCTGTTGCTACTTGAAAATTAAAATTCACGTCATGATCTATCACGATCTTAAAACTGGTAACTGGGGAAATGTTTTAGTTTTCAAAGTTTTGTCTACGGTTTAAATACTTGAATTGCAAAAAAGATGTTGAAATGAGTCCCGAAGTGTAACATAATATTTCGTGTGTATATTATGTAATGGGCTCTCATGAAGTAAATAGCCTTTTGCATTCAAAAACTTTCGCCACCGGGTGGGCTCGAACCACCAACCTTTCGGTTAACAGCCGAACGCGCTAGCCGATTGCGCCACGGAGGCTCTGTTGCTGCATGAATATCACGATCTTAAAACAGGTAACTGGGGAAAAGTTTTAGTTTTCAAAGATTTGTCTACTGTTTAAATACTTGAATTGCAAAAAGATGTTGAAATGAGTCCCGAAGTGTAGCATAATATTTCGTGTGTATATTATGTAATGGGTTCTCATGAAGTAAATAGCCTTTTGCATTCAAAAAACTTTCGCCCCCGGGTGGGCTCGAACCACCAACCTTTCGGTTAACAGCCGAACGCGCTAGCCGATTGCGCCACGGAGGCTCTGTTGCTGCATGAATATCACGATCTTAAAACAGGTAACTGGGGAAAAGTTTTAGTTTTCAGTTTTGTCAAAGGTTTAAATACTTCAATTGCAAAAAAAAAATGTTTTGAAATGAGTTTCGAAGTGTAGCATAATATTTCGTGTGTATATTACGTAATGGGTTCTCATGAAGTAAATAGCCTTTTTGCATTCAAAAACTTTCGCCCCCGGGTGGGCTCGAACCACCAACCTTTCGGTTAACAGCCGAACGCGCTAGCCGATTGCGCCACGGAGGCTCAGTTGTGAATAGAAAACAAAAATTAAAGTAAAAATCTGTCAATAGCTCAAAATTGGTAAACGGGAAAAAGTTATAGTATGCAAAGTTATGTCTACGGTTTAAATACGAGAATTGCAAAAAATTATGTTTCAATGAATTTCTAGGGGTAAGATGATATTCGGTGTGTATATTACGTAATTACTTTTAATGAAGTAAATAGCTTTTTTTGCTTTTAAAAACGTTCGCCACCGGGTGGGCTTCAACCACCAACCTTTCGGTTAACAGCCGATTGCGCCACGGAGGCTCTGTTGCTACTTGAAAATTAAAATTCACGTCATGATCTATCACGATCTTAAAACTGGTAACTGGGGAAAAGTTTTAGTTTTCAAAGTTTTGTCTACGGTTTAAATACTTGAATTGCAAAAAAGATGTTGAAATGAGTCCCGAAGTGTAGCATAATATTTCGTGTGTATATTACGTAATGGGCTCTCATGAAGTAAATAGCCTTTTGCATTCAAAAACTTTCGCCCCGGGTGGGCTCGAACCACCAACCTTTCGGTTAACAGCCGAACGCGCTAGCCGATTGCGCCACGGAGGCTCTGTTGCTGCATGAATATCACGATCTTAAAACAGGTAACTGGGGAAAAGTTTTAGTTTTCAAAGTTTTGTCTACGGTTTAAATACTTGAATTGCAAAAAAGATGTTGAAATGAGTCCCGAAGTGTAGCATAATATTTCGTGTGTATATTATGTAATGGGCTCTCATGAAGTAAATAGCCTTTTTGCATTCAAAAACTTTCGCCCCGGGTGGGCTCGAACCACCAACCTTTCGGTTAACAGCCGAACGCGCTAGCCGATTGCGCCACGGAGGCTCTGTTGCTGCATGAATATCACGATCTTAAAACAGGTAACTGGGGAAAAGTTTTAGTTTTCAAAGTTTTGTCTACGGTTTAAATACATGAATTGCAAAAAATGTTGAAATGAGTCCCGAAGTGTAGCATAATATTTCGTGTGTATATTACGTAATGGGTTCTCATGAAGTAAATAGCCTTTTTGCATTCAAAAACTTTCGCCCCGGGTGGGCTCGAACCACCAACCTTTCGGTTAACAGCCGAACGCGCTAGCCGATTGCGCCACGGAGGCTCTGTTGCTGCATGAATATCACGATCTTAAAACAGGTAACTGGGGAAATGTTTTAGTTTTCAAAGTTTTGTCTACTGTTTAAATACTTGAATTGCAAAAAGATGTTGAAATGAGTCCCGAAGTGTAGCATAATATTTCGTGTGTATATTACGTAATGGGTTCTCATGAAGTAAATAGCCTTTTTGCATTCAAAAACTTTCGCCCCGGGTGGGCTCGAACCACCAACCTTTCGGTTAACAGCCGAACGCGCTAGCCGATTGCGCCACGGAGGCTCTGTTGCTGTTGAAAATTAAAATTCATGTCATGAATATCACGATCTTAAAACTGGTAACTGGGAAAAGTTTAAGTTTTCAAAGATTTGTCTACTGTTTAAATACTTGAATTGCAAAAAGATGTTGAAATGAGTCCCGAAGTGTAGCATAATATTTCGTGTGTATATTATGTAATGGGCTCTCATGAAGTAAATAGCCTTTTGCATTCAAAAACTTTCGCCCCCGGGTGGGCTCGAACCACCAACCTTTCGGTTAACAGCCGAACGCGCTAGCCGATTGCGCCACGGAGGCTCTGTTGCTGCACGAATATCACGATCTGTAAAACAGGTAACTGGGGAAAAGTTTTAGTTTTCAGTTTTGTCTACGGTTTAAATACTTGAATTGCAAAAAAAGATGTTGAAATGAGTCCCGAAGTGTAGCATAATATTTCGTGTGTATATTACGAAATGGTTTCTAACGAAGTAAATAGCCTTTTTGCATTCAAAAACTTTCGCCCCCGGTGGGCTCGAACCACCAACCTTTCGGTTAACAGCCGAACGCGCTAGCCGATTGCGCCACGGAGGCTCAGTTGTGAATAGAAAACAAAAATTAAAGTAAAAATCTGTCAATAGCTCAAAATTGGTAAACGGGAAAAAGTTATAGTATGCAAAGTTATGTCTACGGTTTAAATACGAGAATTGCAAAAAATTATGTTTCAATGAATTTCTAGGGGTAAGATGATATTCGGTGTGTATATTACGTAATTACTTTTAATGAAGTAAATAGCTTTTTTGCTTTTAAAAACGTTCGCCCCGGGTGGGCTTCAACCACCAACCTTTCGGTTAACAGCCGATTGCGCCACGGAGGCTCTGTTGCTACTTGAAAATTAAAATTCCGTCATGATCTTTCACGAACTTAAAATTTGTAAACGCGAAAAGTTTTAGTTTTCAAAGTTTTGTCTACGGTTAAAATACTTGAATTGCAAAAAATTATGTTGAAATGAGTTTCGATGTGTAACATAATATTTCGTGTGTATATTACGCAATGGGTTCACATGAAGTAAATAGCCTTTTTGCATTCAAAAACTGTCGCCCCCGGTTGGGTCTAAATTTCGGTTAACAGCCGAACGCGCTAGCCGATTGGGCCACGGAGGCTCATTCGTAAAGTGAAAGAAAAATTGATGTCATAATCTGTCATTAGCTTAAAATTGGTAAAAGGGAAAAAGTTATAGTTTGCAAAGTTATGTCTACGGTTTAAATACCGGGCATGCCAAATATTAAGTTTCAATGAATTTCTAGGTGTAACATGATATTCGGAGTGTATATTACGTAATGGATATTCTTGAAGTAAATAGCCTTTTTGCCTTAAAAAGCTTTCGCCCCCGGGTGGGCTTTAAAAACCAACCTTTCGGTTAAACGCCGAAAGCGCCACGAAGGCTTGGTTATTTGTAGAAAAAGAAAAAATAGGGTCATAATCTTTCACGAGCTTAAAATTTGTAAACGCCTAAAATTTAGTTCGCAAAGTTATGTCTAAAGTTAAAATACATGATTCGAAAAAATTTATGTTTCAATGAATTTGTAGGGGTAATATGATATTCAGTGAGTATACATAAGGTAATTACTTTTTACGAAGTAAATAGCCTTGTAGCATTAAAAAGATTTCGCCTCCCTGGTGGGCTCGAACCAACAACCTTTCGGGTAACAGCTGAACGCGCTAGCCGATTTCGCCACGGAGGCTCTGTTGCAAGTAAACAAGTAAAATTCATGTCGAAATCTTTCAAGTTCTTAAAACTGGTAATCGGGGAAAAGTTATAGTTTTCAAAGTTTTTTCTATGGTTTGAATACCTGAATATTGAAAAAAAAATGTTGAAATGAGTTTCGAAGTGTAACATAAAATTATGTTTGTATATTACGTAATGGGTTTTCATGAAGTAAATAGCCTTTCTGCATTCAAACACTTCCGCCCCCGGTTTGGCTCAAACCACCAACCTATCGGTTGCAGCCGAACGCATAAGCCGATTGCGCCACGGAGGCTCATTTGTGACGAGAAAAGAAAAATTGATGTCAAAATCTGTCATTAGCTCAAAATTGGTAAACGGGAAAAATGTATAGTTTGCAAAGTTATGTCTACGGTTTAAATACCGGAATTGCCAAATATTAAGTTTCAAATAATGTCTAGGTGTAACATGATATTCGGTGTGCATATTACGTAAATGATTTTCATGAAGTAAATAGCCTTTTTGCATTAAAAAGCTTTGGCCCCGGTTGGGGTTGAAAAACTAACCATTCGCTTAACAGCCGAACGCGCTAGCCGATTGCGCCACGGAGGCTTGGCTATCTGCAGAAAAAAAAATGGTGTCATAATCTTTCACAAGCTTAAAATTTGCAAAGACCAAAAATTTAGTTCACAAAGTTATGTGTGCCTAAGGTTTAAAAACCAGAATTCCAAAAAATTTTTTTCAATGAATTTCTTGGGGTACGATGATATTTGGTGCATACATTACGTAATTACTTTTTATGAAGTAAATAGCCTTTAGGCATTAAAAAGATTTCGCCTATGGTGGGCTCGAACTATCAACCTTTCGTTTAAAAGCCGAACGTGCTGTCCAATTGCGCCACGGAGGCTAGGTTACAGGTAGAAAAAGAAAAATATGATGTCATAATGATTCAGGTGCTTAAAATTTGTAAACGCGAAAACTTTATATTTGGCAAAGTTATGTCCAAGGTTTAAATACAAATATTGCAAAAAATTATGTGTCAATGAATTTTTAGGGGTAACATGTTATTCTGTGTGTACATAACGTAATGAATTTTTTTGAAGTAAATAGCCTTTTTGCATTAAGATATGTGACTACCTTCGGAGCACTTTTTTTGAAATATATAAAATTGCAATTAAATAAAGATTTTTTAATTGAAATGGGACTTGAAAGTAAGAATTCTGAAACAGTTTCTACAAAGTTAAAATTAATTTGGGAAATATTGGGAATTTTGAGTGAAATTTTAGTGAAAAATTGCAGTTGCGGTAAGGTTTGTATTGAAAATTGTAATTATTATATTCTTATAATTTTTATACAGTACATAAATGACATAATTATCGGTGCTGATGGCTATAAAATTTGTAAATACTTCTGAAAGTTTTTGAAATATGACAATTTTTATGCAAAACCTAAATTTTTTACAAAACACTAATGTTCTTTTCTCACAAAAAGTACAATAAAAAAATAAATATATACACATAGAGATTAGATTATAGTCTAACACACAGATAATACTAAATAAAACATTTTCTGAAAATTTCAAGTTAGTATCTTAAAAAGAACTTCTGTAGTGAACTGTACCGTGAAGAAAAAATTTGAAAAACATAGTTTTTTCGGAAATGCATTTAAAGATTTTAATACTATATGAAAAATTTTCTACTAATTTTACACTTTTAAAACATACTATATTTATAGCTCAAACTCTTTTTAGCTTCATGTAAAACTGATTTGACCTTTATTTTACCCTTTTGTTGTTTTCTGGAGAGTTTTGTAGACTATAACAATTGTTATTTTTAGCAAAATTTTGGTGAAAAATTGCATTTACGAAAAATTTTGTACACAAAATTCTAATAAATGTATTCAAATAATATTTACAAAGTACAAAAACAACATCTTTATCTGTGATAGGAATAAAAAAATTGTAATACTTTTGAATTTTTTTTAAATATGCCAAATTTTATGCAAAAACTCAAATTTTTAAAAAATTAATGCTTTTTCTTTCATAAAAAAGCAATCAGGTACATAAATATATACACAGAGATTAGATTTTGATTCATAACACAGATAGAATTACATAAAACATGTCCTGAAAATTTAGATTTAGTATCTTAAAAATATTTTGTGTAGTGAGCTTTATCGTGAAGAAAATATTGAATAATAGTTTCTCGTAAAGCAAATTTAATAATTTTAACTCAAAATAATTACTTTTCTACTAACTAAACATTTTCAAAACTCCCCATATTCATAGCTTAAGCCCTCTTTAGCTTCATTTTTAGCTAATTTGGACTTTTTTTGGCTTTTTTGTATTTTCCTGGAGAGTTAGTTTTGTTGAGGGTAATGGCTGGCGTTTCGATTTTTGAATCCTCTCCGTGTCAATTCCCATATAGTTTTTAAGTGTCGTTGGATTAATTCCTATACCTAAATAATTAAATACAGGCAATAGCCCTAAATAACCCGAATTATATATGATGACACTCATGTATGAACCCAAAAACAAAGTTTTTTATGAACAAAAATTTCTTTCGGCAAAACAGACCACAATACATTATTAAATCTTTCATTATTATTTTGAGTCTTGCCACGGAGGCATTTTTAGCAACTCCTTATCACAGAGTGCTAAATAAGTATAAGCTTTATTCCTTTTAATTACTGAATTTGAAAGGCCTGCTGTTTTGTCCACATATACTTTACATTCCCATAATGCTTGTTTATACTTGCACCAGCTGTCTTTCCCTGTTGGACATTGCCCATGCATGGGATTTTGATTGCTAGAGCAGCAGTGAAAGAAGGCAGCTATTACAGCAGATTACATTTTTCGAGGCATCCAAAGTTGCTGCGGATGACAATTCTATAATAGTTCTGCAGTTTATCGATAAATTTATCAGTTAATTTCTCCTTCCCACCAAGTCCTTTGATGTTCTTTTTTAGTTTCCTTAAACGTGAGCCTACTCTTTTTTGTATATGTCCTATACATTCAAGTTCTGTGACACTGTTTTCACCATATATATCCATCACTTGTAAAAAGCCCTTGGAATCACCATCACCACAGTACTCGGTGTATTACAGGTCTCGTTTGATTAGTGACCTTTCAAAAATTCTAAAAGTTCCAACAGCTTCCATGTTTTCAGAGAATCCTTTATAATTTGAACATACATGCTCACATTTCACATTCAATACTTCCAGATTTAAAATTTTTCCAGTATCAATGGAAATAACTGAAACGCAGCCATTAAGAGACATATGACCTCTCCGCTGCCATGTGCCATCTACCGTTACACCACAAGTGGTACTTTTTTTTAAATTATGCACTTCTTTAGATGCAGCTTTCATATTTTCTTCAGAACATAACTGTACTGCTTCCAGCAGTTTCAGTTCATGAGCTCTGAAGGTATTTTTAGAAATGTATGGCAAATTTAAAACTCCAGCTGTGAATCCTCTGCCAATCAATCTCAATCCAAATACCAATAAAGTATTGAGAGATAATTTTTTATTTTCTTTAGGAGTAGAAGTAAAGCCAGTCATGAACTCACAACAGCAAGCCACACACAAATTAGAGCAAAGTCATTCCTTAGAATCTTCTGCCAGTTTCAATCCAGTTGCATAACATTCCGGACAACACAAGATTGAAATAATTCCCATCAAAGCTTGGAAATTAATAATTCTATTCCCTGTAGAACCATGAAATTCAGGTTCAGGCACATCCAAACTGTCAAAAGTGCTCAATTTCGCTTCACTTGCAGACGTATTTTTACTGTTAAGTGCGAACTTGGTAAACCTATTACAATAAAACTTTATCTTTCTAGACACTTTCGATCTAGCTTTCGGCATTTTTAAATTATTCACAAAAAAATAAAACGTTAAAATGAAACGAAAATTAATGAATTAACTGTAAAATTATCAAATGCAAGTAATAATTAAGAAGAGAGCTTTAGAATGAACAGTGTAAACAAACTATAAGCGATAATATGAAATCATCTAAAACATTTTCTCAAAATCGCGCGCGATCCACATCACAACCTGACTTTCAAAGAATTATTGGAGAAAGCTATGTCTAACAGATTAACATTCAGATTTTTTATCCAGAAACTGAAATATTTTGACATCTACTAATTTTTAAATGACATTTGTCTTTTAGGGGATCATAGCCTTTGTTGCTCCATATCCCACAAAACCTGAACTGAACTGAAGCGATAATATTATTGCCATTCAGTAAAACAATCTTGAATTTAAAAAAACAGTTGTCAGATTAAAAAAATAAGTAACGGATGCTTAATAAATAAGTAAAGGATACGTTGATCTATATTTACCATAATATTAGATATTTATATTACTTAAAAGTCACGAAAAAGACGTTCAAACTTTTTGTTTACATTTTTATGTCTCTTTGAACGGTTATTTCCGATTTTGAAAATTCCGTTTCCGGTTTACTAAATAAGCTATAACTTAGCTTCTAAAAATCGTAGGAACTAAAATAAAATATTTTTTGGAATCTTAAGTGTATGGGCTATGATATATAAACATAAAAAAACTTCGAAATATTTCTCCAAACCAAGGATTTTTGGGTAGTCCCAAAACTTAAAAAAAATTCTGCCCAGGGTGGGCTTGTACCACCAACCTTTCGTTTAACAGCCAAACGCACAAGTCGATTGTGCCACGGAGGTTCTGTTGCAACTTGCAAAAGAAAAATTGGTGTCATAATCTTTCACGATCTTAAAATTCGTACCCGGGGAAAAGTTATAGTTTGCAAAGTTTTGTCTCCGCTTTGAATAGCTGAATTGGAAAAAATAATGTTTCAAAAAATGAATTTCTAGGTGTAACATAATGATTTGTGTGTATATTACGTAAAGGAGTGTCATGAAGTAAATAGCCTTTTGCATTTAAAAGTTTTCGCCCCCGTGTGGTCTAGAACCAACAACCTTTCCGTTAACAGCCGAGAGCGCTAGCCGATTGGGCCACGGAGGATCATTCGTAAAGTGAAAGAAAAATTGATGTCATAATCTGTCATTAGCTTAAAATTGGTAAAAGGGAAAAAGTTATAGTTTGCAATGTTATGTCTACGGTTTAAATACCGGGCATGCCAAATATTAAGTTTCAATGAATTTCTAGGTGTAACATGATATTCGGAGTGTATATTACGTAATGGATATTCTTGAAGTAAATAGCGTTTTTTGCATTAAAAAGCTTTCACCCCCGGTTGGGCTCGAAAAACCGACCATTTGGTTAACAGCCAAACGCGCTAGCCGCTTGCGCCACGGAGGCTCTGTTGCAACTTAAAAAATAAAATTCATGTTATAATCTTTCACGATCTTAAAACTGGTAACTGAGGAAAAGTTAAAGTTTTCAAAGATTTGTCTACGGTGTGAATACCTGAGTTGCAAAAAAATGTTGAAATGAGTTGCGGAGTTTAACATAATTTTTTGTGTTTATATTACTCAATGGGTTTTTATGAAGTAAATAGCCTTTTTGCAGTAAAAAGCTTTCGCCCCAGTGTGGGCTTGAAAAACAAACATTTCGGTTAACAGCCGAACGCGCCATGGAGGCTTGGTTATTTGGAGAAAAAGAAGAAACGGTGTCATAATCTTTCACGAGCTTAAAATTTGTAAACCCCAAAAATTTAGTTCGCAAAGTTATGTGTCTAAGGTTTAAATACAAGAATTGCAAAAAATTATGTTTAAATGAATTTCTAGGGGTTAGATGATATTCGCGGTGTTTACATTACGTAATGACTTTTTATGAAGTAAATAGCCTTTTGGCATTAAAAAGTTTTTGCCCCCGGGTAGGGTCGAATTCGCTAGCCGTTTGCTCCACGGAGGCTCAGTTGTATGGGAAAAAAGGAAAAATTGATGTCATAATCTTTCATGAACTTAAAATTAGTAAACGCGTAAAAGTTATAGTTTGCAAAGTTATTTCTAATGTTTAAATACCAAAATTGCAGAAAATTATGTTTCAATGAATTTCTAGGATTAACATAATATTTGATGTGTACAATACGTGATGAATTTTTATAAAATATATAGCATTTTTGCTTTAAGAAGCTTTTGCCACAAAAATTGTAAAACATTGATTTTGTTATCCCACTTTTTGGCATTTCTTGCCCTGGTTGGGGAAATAATCAAGAAAGTGGCATTTATTTCCAGATTATAATATATGATCGCCATTATGCTAGGGCAGTGCTTCTCTTACTTTTAATACTGGCAACCAACTTTTCAATCATAACTTTTATCGCGCCCCCTTTATACATTAATAATGTACTGAATGCAATAATAATGCACTTTGACGCTAAATCTACAATAGGCGATCTTAATTATAAACCATATAAATGAGTAACGTAAGTATTAAATTTTGTATACTACTCATAAGCAAAAATATATAAATAAATAAAATAATAGTATAATTATTATGTTATTTTTCCTTTCTCTATTTTTTAAATTGGAACATATTGCAAAATGCGGTGGCTGCTTAGAAGACAAAATATAGATACAGCTAAATATAGAAAATAACTCAGAGTGCCAATTTCTAATCATAAACATTCCATTAAAAAACTTTGCTCTGCAAAACAAGCCAATGGAAGGCGCTAATACTTATTAAACTTGTTCTTAATTTTGTATTAATTAATTAGTTATAAAATACTCTGTGCAGCACTGATACAAAAGAAGTATACCGGCTGAAGTACCCGCTCTTTGCACGAGTTCATTTATAGAAAGTAAAACAATATTGATATAATATCTGAATTGTAAGGAGAGTAAAGCCAAGTGTGCGACAATGTTTACCAAAGTGAAAATTTTTTTTTTTTTTTTTAATTGATTGCTCAAACTATAATTATTTTTAAGCAAACTAAAATTTTATGCCTCGAGGAATTAGCATTTAGAATTGCTGTTAAATAATGAACCATAATATAAAATTTCGATGAAGAATAATTGTATTATTTTC